GGCGTTTGAGCGGTATTTGAGGAGCACCGCCACTCTGAAGTTCGGCCGGGTGGTCTGCAGACCCCCCCCCCCGGAGCAGCAGAGGCTCCGTGGGGTCGAAAAGTCGACGCTGGGAGTCGCACTCGTCAAACCGTCGCAACACCACGCGGTACGCACATACCGCCCACATCCCCTCCACCGCTGAGAAGGCGCAGATCGACCGCCGGGCCGCGTAGCCGTCGTTAAGGAGCGGTTTTTGGAGCCGTACGAAGAGGTCCCAGACGGGCGAAGATGCGGTTTTTCGACGACCACACGCGATGTGGTATCTGGTTTTTGCTAAAAACGGGCCGCCTAGTGCAGCATCACTAGTACAACACGCAACCACACTGAAAGCTCCACACTAGCCGGTATAGGCGAGCACCGTCGGCCTCACCGTCGCCGCTCGCGGCGGAGCCGACGGCGGAGCCACGGGTCGGTGCGACCTTTTGGGGGCCCATGAGCTCGCCAGGACGTCACCGATGGCTCGGCGCGCCTCTTCCCGCCAGCGCGGGGCGGCCTACCTACAGGAGCGAGGGGGAGGAAGACGGAACTGAGCCCTAGGTTCGTGACCCCGTCGCCGGCAACGGCTGGGAGAGGGGCGGCAAGCGACGGGCGGGTGAGCGACCTTTTGAGCGGCCGTGAGCCGGCAGGGAGGCCGGCGATGGCTCGGCCAGCTCCTTCCCGGCGGGTTCTCGTCGGGCTGTGCCTAGGCGGCGGGGCTCGGGTGAGGTAAGCGGGCCCGGGAGTCGCATCTGCGCGTCCCCGGCAGTGGCAGTGTGGGGGTAGATGGGAAGTGCGGAGATGGGAGGCAACGCGCCTGTTTGATGGCCGCACGAGGCAAAGTTGGGCGCTCCGAGCGTCTTCTCGGCGAGAACGAACGACCTGTGCATCGTTGCGGGGGTGACTGAGAGGGAGGTGGTCGTGAGCTCACTTTGTCGGCCGCGCGCAAGGTGAAAACTGAGTGTGAGGCGCGCAGGAGGCGAGGATGGGCGCGCCGGCGGTCGAGCCGCCGAACAAATCGACGTGGCGCAGCTCCGCGCTGGCGGGGACGACCGAGTACATGATGTCGGCGGCGGTCACGCGACGAGGGAGAGCCGCAGGAGCCCTCTGTGGAGCAGGCGCGCGAAAGCAGCGATGAGTGGAGCCGCGATCAGCCACCTGTGGGCGGTCATCGGGGTCGCGGTCAAGCTCGCGACGGGGTGGATCCTGTGCCTCTCGTATCACTGGTGGGCTGGGTGTGCAGCAGCGGCGCTCAAAAAGAGGGAAAAAACTCGGCAACTGTTTGGAGTGTCTACATTCTCGAGGCACCGTTCTCGGCCCGGCCGGAAAGCTGGCTGGTGGTCGCGCGCGGCGCGTCAGCGCGGCTGCGACTGGTCGGGCACCTCGGCTGGGTCCATCGGCAAGAGGCCCGCGCCGTCGGGCGGCCCCGGGCGCGCATGATGCCCCTCCGAGAGGCGCTGACGCCCCGCCGAGATCGCGCAGCTTTGGCACGAAAAACACGAGGCGCCACAAGGGGGGGGGTCAAGTATCGTACCCTAGACAGGCGCATGCACGGCCGTTCAGAAATTTTCCCAGCCGTTGGAATGGCTCCGCTCCTGCCCCTCACCGGGCCGAACGGGTAGTGGGCGTTGGCGCCGAAGAGGGAGGAGTCGCTGAAGGACGGGTAGTCGTCGGTCGTGCGGGGGGAGGAGGAGTCGGCGAGCAGCAGGGAGGAGAAATGCCTGAGAGGGTGGGTATGAAGAGAAGAAAATGTTATGAATGAAACAAACAAAAACGCAAAAGCAAGCAAGGCAGACACACACACACACACACGACCGCCTTTCTTGTACCATCGGCAAATTCTTTCGGGGAGGAACGGGGCGAGCCCCCTCCAACCCACCCGCGCTAGGTCTCCGGTTTGACGCATGGGGTCACTCCCGCGAAACTCGTGAATTAGCCGGGGCAGTCGGAGAAGGGGCAACTCCGTGCACTGACGGTCGGCCGTCAGAAAACACGCCTGCGTGGATCGTGTCACACCAATCCTCGCTACCCAACGCGGCCAAAGGATATCCACCTCGAGAAGATCGAGAAATTCTATTCGCCGAGCGGCTGCCTGAGTATTGCGCACTATTCGCCGAGCCTGAGAGGAGTGAGCCAGCCGTAACGAGTAGAGTAGACCAATGGGGGGGAAACCACTACCGGTTGTATATCCGCGTGTACACAGTTCTCCTTACGCCGGGCGTCTGCCGTCTCTCTGTCCGGGGCGCCACAGTGGCACAGATCGTAGAGCCCATTTCGCGGGTTCTCGGCGCCTTTTAGCTTTTTTTTCCACGTGGATAGCCGAGAATGTGATATGTGTGTGTGGGTCCGCGGCGGGCGGCGCCCGCCACGGCGTCGTGTGGTCTAGCGTTCCGATCCGGATCCCGCGCGGCTCGCTCCGTGCTGTTCGGCCGCCGCTACGTCAGCCATGCCCCGGCGTGGCCGCAGCTGTGTGCGATCAGAGAGCACATGCCAATTGTCAGCTCGTCACAGACTCACACGCAAGTCACAATAAAACAACGTCAACAACGAAGGAAGCCAATATGCACTGTGTACATGGCGCTCCGCACCACGAGTGGCTGCGCACTACGAGTGGCTGCGCACTACGAGTGGCTGCGCAGCGCCCCCTTGAGCTCCGCCACCTGGTCGAGCGCGTCGCCGAGCAGCCCCTTGGCCACGCCCAGGTCGCGCAGCTGCTCCACGCCGCCGCTCGCCCGCACCTCGGCGGCGTGGTCGGCCACGAAGCGGCGGCACTGCGCGAGGAGCCGCCCGTCGCCCGTCGTGTGCGCCGCCTCGAGCAGCGGCACGGCGGTCGCCGGCGCGACGCTCTCCTGCAGCGCCTGCGCACAGAGCAGCTCGAGGCGCGGCACCTGGTACTTGTGCGCCAGCTGCCGCAGCACGAGCGCGCGCCGCGCCTGCTCGCCCTCCCCCTCGCCGAGGTCGAGCTGGTCGGTGAGGAGGTAGCGGACGAGGGCGGTGAAGCTGGCGAGGTCCGTTTCGAGCACCGTGACCTCGGCGGCGTCGCGCTCCTTCATGCCGATGCCAAACATGGTCCGAAAGAACACGGACCGAACGCAGAGGTTGGCCTTGCTCACGTGCTCGATGCGCTCCTCGTCGTCGCCGACCAGGAAGGTGACCAGGCCGGTGGGGAGGGTGGCGTCGCCCCACGTGTTGGCCATGTCGGCGGAGAAGGTGGAGGGCGGAACCACGAGCGGCGCGAAGGAGGGAGGCGGAGGAGGCGCAGCCACGCAGACCTGGCGGAGAGCCGAGCCCTCCATGCGGACCAAAAGCGTTGTGCCGTCCGGGCTAATGGCGAGGAAGACTGGGTATTCGAACTGCGCCGCGCCGCCCACGCCATCGACGCTGCCCTCGGCGCCGCTACCCGCGAGCGTAGTCACCGCGCCCGTCGCCACCTCCACCCGCCGGATCTTGTTGTTGATGCAGTCCGCCACAAACAACGCGCTCCCGTCTGGGCTGATCGTGACGCCGTGTGGGAGGCGGAACTGCGCCGCGCCGCCCACGCCATCGATGCTGCCTTCTACGCCGCTGCCCGCGAGCGTAGTGACTGCGCCCGTCGCCACCTCCACCCGCCTGATCTTGTGGTTGTCGGAGTCCGCCACAAACAGCGCGCTCCCGTCCGGGCTGATTGCGAGGGCGTATGGCCAGTCGAACTGCGCCGCGCCGCCAACGCCGTCTGCATCGCCACCTTCGCCGCTGCCCGCGAGCGTAGTCACCGCGCCCGTCGCCACCTCCACCCGCCGGATCTTCTGGTTGTCGGAGTCCGCCACAAACAGCACGCTCCCGTCCGGGCTAATTGCGACGCCGCGTGGGCCGTAGAACTGCGCCGCGCCGCCGACGCCGTCTGCATCGCCACCTTCGCCGCTACCCGCGAGCGTCGTCACAGCACCCGACGCAACCTCCATCCGACGGATCTTGTTGTTGCCGGCATCCGCCACAAACAGCGCGCTCCCGTCCGGGCTGAGGGCGACGCCGGAGAACCCGCCGCCTTCGCAGGTCGCCACGGTGCGCACGCGCCCGGCCGCCGAGATGTGCAGCACCGAGTCCTTAGTCGCGACGTACCAGGCGCCCGCGTGATCGCTCGCGATGCCGCGCAGGGTGAGTGACGCCAGAGGTCCGTCCTCGCCCTCGAGCACGAGCGTTGTGACCTGGCCGACGGCGCGCGCGCCAAAGATGGGCGCCTCGAAGCCGGCAGCGACCGCCACGGGCTCGCCCTCCTCCTCGCTGCGGGGGCGCTTGCGGGCGGGCGACGCCATCGACACGGCCTTGGATTTCTTTTCGCGGCTACTCGGAATTCTTACGGCGCGGGACTGTGGAACCGTTAAAGAAAGAAAGAAAACACAGAACCCAAGGGAGGGATGGGAGAACGGCACGCCGCCACCACACAGGGATTTTAAGGAGAGGAGAGTGTGATGCGCTAGCCGTCGCCCACCCTGGGGAGTCTGCCTCTTCGTATCTCTTTTCGCAGTCTCTCGCCGCTTCTCGCTGCAACCTTCATGCCACCTCGCGGCCGTCCCACTCTCGTCGTTCTCTCCCTTGTCACTTCCTCCTCTGTCGCGTCGTTCTCTTCTGCCTCGTCCTGCGACGCCGCCGCCTGGCCGCCGCCTGTCCCTTGTGCTCGCGGCTTCTTTCGCCTTTCGGCGTCCTTAAATTGCGCAAGTCGAACCGTTTTCTTAAATTCGCTCAGAATTCTTTCGCTGGACGATGGCCGTGGTGTCCCGATGCGGGCAGCACAGGCAGCACGTCTGCTCACCTCGCGAACCGTCGCTCCCGCTGTGCGCAGCATTGCGACACGCAGTAGCGGCAGCAGCAGTGGCAGTAGCCTTTCGTCGGCGGCTCTCGCTCGGGACGGCCGGCCGCGAGTGGCAGCGGCGGCGGCTGCTGCAGCAGCGGCCGCCAGCCGGGCGCCAGTGAGCGAGATCCTGTCCAATCACGCGGCACGCGTGATGAGCGGCTTCTGTGCGGCGCACGGCGTCGAGCCCACCTACGACGTTCGTCCGATGGGCACCGCCCGCAGGCCTCGGCACGTCTGCACGCTGCACCTGCCGCTGCCGCCTCCACTCGCGGACGCGTTCGGCTACACGAAGCTGGTTCGGACGGGCGCGCTCGCGACGCGGAAGCGCGCGGCGGTGCTCGCGGCCATCCAGAAGACTCTGCTGGAGCTACACGAAGATGCAGGCCTGAACACATGCACAGCTCTGCCTCACGCCTCCACCAATCCCAACCCCGACCCAACCCCGACTCCAACCCCGACTCTAACCCCGACTCCAACCCCGACTCTAACCCCGACTCTAACCCCGACTCTAACCCCGACTCTAACCCCGACCCCGACCCTACGCCCAATGATCGAGCTGTCCGACCACGCAGGCGTCGACCTCCACGCCCTCCTCGAGCTCGGGGCAGACGCGCCGCTCTCGACCGCTCTCTCCCAAACCACGCGGAGCATCACTGCTGTGATGGCCGAGGCACGCGATTACCTGAGATTACCCGAGATTACGCGGAGCATCACTGCTGTGATGGCTGAGGCACGAGTCGGCTGCGCTGGGCCTCTCGCCTCGAGAGTCGTTTCAGCACTCGCACTGGTGGCGGACAGGCGGGCAGACGAGCCCCGGCCCGCCGCGACTTGAGGCCTCGCGTGAGTCGGCGGAGGTGTCTTAGGCGACGGTTGGCCGCGCCGAGCCTCGCGCCTCCCGAGATGACCCGAGATGACCCGAGATGACCCGAGATTAGGCGCCGGTTGGCCGCGCCGAGCCTCGCGCCTCCCTCGCCACGCTGCGCCTGCTCTCGCGCACGCTGTCCGTCTCGCGCAACAAGGTGTTGTGCAAGGCTGTCGATGCCAAACTCGTTGACGGCTAGTCGACGGCTGGTTGTTGCTTAGGTGCTCTCCAAGCACTCGGGGCCGGTGCTGCAAGTGAGCAGCAGGCTGCCGCTCGCTCCTCTAGCCGGCTCCTCTGCGCCGTGTCCTCCCGAGATCGGCCGAGATCGGCCGAGATCAGCCGAGCGTGTCCGAGGGTAGGCCAGCGGCTTCTCTGCGTCGTGCGCGCGTACGAACGCGACGGCGCAGATTTCGAGACGCTCGAGCACGCCTCGCACGTCCTCGCCTGCCGCAAGCTCCTCGCAGAGCTGCCGCCGGCGCACCGCACTGAGCTGCGGCGGCTGCAGGCTTCGCTTGCGGCAGCAGCGCCGTCGCCGGCGCTTGTCGGCGCGGCCGTGGCAGAGCTGACTGAGAAAAAGAATAAACCCTTGCTTGGATTTCGTCTTTCTTCTTCTCAGGCGCGGCCGTGGCAGAGCTGCCTGCGCTGCCTGAGCAGGCGGTGGCGGAGGTGCAGACTGCCGCCGCCGCCGTTTTGGCGGAATGCGCCGAGCAGAAGCAGCAGCGGCAGCAGCAGAAGCAGCAGCGGCAGCAGCAGCAGCAGCAGCAGCAGCAGCAGCAGCAGCAGCAGCAGCAGCAGCAGCGGCGGCGGCGGCAGCGGCAGCAGCGGCAGCGGCAGCCGCAGCCCCAGCCCCAGCCGCAGCAGCAGCAGCAGCAGCAGCAGCAGCGGCAGCCGCAGCAGCAGTCTGGATGTCTGCTGCTGCCGGAGGCGTCGCCGGTGCTGCCGGAGCATCCCGCCGCGAGGCCCCGGCGGCCTCCGCGCTCGCCGCTTCCGATTGACGAGCTGCGGGAGACTCTCCTGGCGCGAACGCCTAGATGGCATTCAAACGTGAGTCTCTCCTCGCTCGCGAGGACATGTGGTCGGGCGATGTGCGCTGTGTTCGCAGCCCGAGTACTCACGCGGTGCTCTGAGTACATTGCGCGATGCTGCCTTCAGACCCCGCCGTCGGCGAGTCCGCGCTGTAGGCGCGCGTCGGCGTCGAGCAGACGGTGATCTTGAGTGGCGGGACCGGAACCGGCAAGACGATTCGCGTGCCTCAGATGATCGCCGATGCGGCGGAGGAGGCGGCCGCGCTGTCTGCCGCTGGTGCCGCTGCTGCCGGCGGCGGAGGCGTGCAGGCGTGCCGTTGTGTATCCGCCGCAGAGGAAAGAGCTGATGCGCACAAAGAGAAGCCAGACTGCGGTCGCCACGCCCGCGCACTTGAGCCAGCTAGTGTATCGATCAATGATTCGTCACTGATCATATTCGTCACTACTGAGACACGGCGTTGGGTGCTGGTTAGGCGTGCCGGGTGGTGGTGGTGCAGCCCCGCCGCATCAGCGCCGTCGCCTCCGCGGCGCGAGTGGCGCAGGAGCGGGGCGAGCCGCCGCCGGCGTCGCTTCGCCGCTCGCCGCTCCGTCGGCGTGAGTGGTTCCATGCCCCGGACGGCAATTGCGTCGGCGGCGGCGGTGGCGGTGGTGGTGGCGACGGCGATGGTGGCGGAGGCGGCGGTGGCGGCGGCGATGGTGGCGGAGGCGGCGGTGTCGGTGGTGTCGGCGGTGGTGGCGGTTGGGCTGGCGGCGGGGCTGGCGGCGGGGTCGGCAGCAGCGCGGGTGGCGGGGCTGGTGTGGCGGCTCGGGGGAGCGTCGGTTACGCGGTGCTGCTGGAGTCGGCTCCGCCGTCGGCGGAGGCTGTCGCCACCATCGAGCATGTCAGCCTAGAGGCGGAGCCCGTACTCGTGTACTCCTAGCAGCGCTCGAGAGGACCCGTGTTGAGCCGTACTCGGCCGTACTCTCAGCCGTATTCACTGCACTCGCCTCCCTCGTCCTCACGCGGTGCTCTGAAGACACTGCGCAACACCGTCTCCCCGCCCTGAGTTTGCGTGTTGAGCACGTAGGTATGTCAGCGCCGGCGTGATGCTGAGGCGGCTGGCGCGGGGGGTCCGAGCTTAATTAATAGTCAATTAATAGTGGATGAATAGTTAATTAGGCGGCTGGCGCGGGACCCGAGCCTGGCGGGAGTGACGCATCTGGTGGTGGACGAGGTGCACGAGATATGGGGGAGATATGGGGGAGATATGGGGGAGATATGGGGGAGATATGGGGGAGATATGGGGGAGATGCGAGCCTGGCAGGAGTCACTCATCTGGTGGTGGGCGAGGTGCACGAGCTATTAATTAGCTAGTAATTAAGTATTAATTAACTATTAAGTAACTAGGAATTGACTATGAATTAACTATTAATTAATCTTGTGGTGGACGAGGTGCACGAGCGATCTGCACGCGTCGACCTCTTGCTGGCGAAGCTGCGAGCCGCGACACTGCGTGCGCGCCCGTCGCTTCGGCTCCTCCTCATGTCGGCGACTAGGCTCGTGGCGAGATTGCCCGAGATTACCCGAGATTACCCGAGATTAGGCTGCTCCTCATGTCGGCGACTCTCGACGCGGCCGCATGGGCGCGCTACTTCGACGCGCCTCCCTCCGCCCTGCTCGCGCTGCCGCCCGCCGGTCGCCACCGCGTGCGCGAGCTCTTCCTGGGCGATCTCGTCACCGGCGCGTGGGACGCCGAATGGACTATTAGTTAACGACTAGTTAACTATTACTTAGGCGATCTCGTCACCGGCGAGTGGGACGACGGCTCCGGGAGGGCGGCGGAGGGCTCCGGGATGGCGGCAGATGGCTTTGAGATGGCGGCAGATGGCTTTGAGATGGCGGCAGATGGCTTTGAGATGGCGGCAGACGGCTTTGAGATGGCGGGGAGGATCGAGACGGGCGCCAAAAGGGCCGGCGGTCTCGGCTGCAGCGCGGGGTGGCAGGCAGGGCACGGGCTGTCCGCGCTTGCCCGCGCCGTGGCGGAGGAAGAGCGAGTCAGCTACTGCCTTGCCGGCGGCGCAGACGAGTTCGCAGAGGAGGGGCGCGCAGGCAAGGGTGGCGCCGGTGGCGACCGGGCGGGGGACGGGGAGGGGAGGGGCGCGGCGGCTGGCGAGGCGGCGGAGGGGCATCAGCTGGACGTCGCGCTCTGCCGCCTCGCCGCTGCTCTCATCCAACGCCTCTGCAGCGACGCCGCCGGCAGCTGCAACAGCGGCGGGGACGGCGGCGGCGGTGGCGGCGGCGGCGGGCCGGTTGGGCGCGGCGCGATCCTCTGCTTTCTTCCTGGGTGGTCGGGGCTGCGGGTGCGTCTCCAAACCTCCCCCGCATCTCCCCATGTCTCCCGTGATTCCCTTAGGTGGGCGGAGCTGCGCCGCGTCTCTTCTCTGCTTGCGGGGGCGGCGGGTGGAGGCGGCGAGGGCGGGGGGGGGCGCCTCACGCCGCCTCCGATGCGGGTACACCTGCTACACTCCTCAGTACCGCTCGCCTCGCAACGCGCCGCGCTCGAGCAATCTACGGCGGGCGGTCCGCGCAAGGTTGTCCTCGCGACGTCGATCGCCGAGACGTCGATCACGATCCCAGGTGAGGAGATCACGGGAGATCTGGGGAGATTTGGGGGAGGTGTGAGAAGACGTCGGGAGATCTGGGGAGATTTGGGGGAGGTGTGAGAAGACGTCGCTCACCGCCTCAGACGCCTCGATCGTGATCGACGCCGGCCGCACGAGAGTGTCCGCGTGGGACGCGGCCTCGCGCGTCTCTGCTCTGCGCACCGAGCTGGCGTCGGCCGACGCGGCGGCGCAGAGGGCGGGGCGGGTTGGCCGTGTCGGGCCTGGGACAGTGTACCGGCTCTACTCGCGCGCGGCCGCGGCCCGGAGGGCTGCGGCGGCGGAGCCGGAGATTGTCCGCTCGAACCTCGACGGGCTCTTCCTGCAGGCAGAGGAGATGGCGGCCGGAGGATCCGCCGCCGCGCTGCTGGCGGCGACGCCGGACCCGCCCCCCGCCGCCGCCGTGGCGCTCGCAGGGCGGCGCTTGCTGGCGCTGGGTGCGGTGCGGTCTGCTGCATCGCCGCCCGCGGAGGGGTGCGACGAGGAGGGGCTGCTCCCGGAAGCCGCAAGCCGCGAGCAGGGTTACAGCTCAGGGCGCGGCAGCACAGGTCTCAACCCCCCTCCCCTCCCTCACCCTTCCTTTTCCCTTCCTCCTCCCACTGACCAGCCGGTCGAGATAGGGCTGGCCGACTTGCACCTTCGCATCCGCTGCCTCATAGAGCGTGAAATACTCAGGTACTCCCTGCTCGGCGATATAATGGCTTCCGCGTAGGAAGCCGGGGATCGCCACGCGTTCCGGGATATGCTCGCGATTATGCCATTCGATGAAGTTTTCGCGGCCTTCCGGCAAGATGTCGTTCCTGATGGCGACCACGGCCTTTCCCTGAAGAGACATAAGTTACCTCAATATGTTGCACGACCGCCGGAAAGGTCCAAAACCGCGCCGGTCGAAAAACTGCATTCGGAAGAAGAGAGTCAGGCCACCCTATTGGCGACTTCGGCGGAGTCGACAAAACGCCGCAT